AAATAAATAAATAAATAAATAAATACCAATTTTTAATTACTTCCTTATTAAAATTATCAACAAGATATCTTTGTAATATATTCGTAGGGTTATACATTATATCACCAAATCCTTTATCAGATATACATAAAATCATTGTTATCCTTATCCATTTTAAATCAAAACGTTCTAAAGTATTCAATTCATATATGTATCAGTTTTTCATTGTATCGTTGTTAACCTATTTCACAGCATAATTGTGTTATTATTTAACTCCTTCAGTTAAAACATGAGTAAAACATTTTTCATTTCCAAGTTTTTTCCCCAACCACTGATAAAGCAAATCCCATATCTTATAAAGGTATATAAAGTATATAAAGTATAAATATGGAGCAGGGGTGGGTTTTTCGCCCCGTTCCAACCGGTTCGGTTGGAACGATGCCGATGGTGTCCTCGTGCACGCGTGCGGCGCACGCACGCAGCGCACGCATGCGTACTAGCATCTCTGCGATGCTCCAGCTGCTCCTGGAGGATCGCGCAGGCGCTGTATGTGTCCTGCGCATGCGTGGAAGCGCAGAATTTGTGAAAAACGGGTAAGGAGCGGGCGCGCGTGGGCGCGGGGGGGGGGCTTCGCCATTCCCGGAAGTTACTTACTTCCGGGTTCGGCGACCAACCGGTTCGCAGGGACTGCCGGGAACCAGTTGAAACCCACCCCTGATATGGAGGAAAGAAAATTGATAACAATCAATATTAATGGACTTAACTCAGCAACTAAAAGAAAGAAAACATTTTATAAATTAGAAAAGTTAGGCGAAACATTTTCAAGGGGGGGAAAAAAACAAGAAAATCCAGTTGCCTTTTGGAAAAACACCTTTGCGACAGTCGTAGCTTGGATGATCGAGACTCTCCCTGGACGTCGGGCTGAAGAGCTGATGGACTTCCTTTCTCTTCCAGGTCAGCGTGGATAAATGGAACCTCTACAACGCAGCCCGAGTTCACATTCACAGGCCTTCTTGCGTTGCAGTGGAAGTTCAGAGACTCAACGGCCTGGAGCTGGAGAAGAAGATTGGAAAGTCCATCCTTGGAAAGGTGAGGGCTAAGCGGTCTCTTATCTAATCGTCTCCTAAGCAGCATCTCGAGCACTGCATCCAGTTTTGGTCACCACACTATAAAAAAAAAAGATGTTGAGACTCGACAAGAGTGCAGAGAAGAGCAACCAAGATGATTTAGGGGACTGTAGATTGAAACATAAGATGAAAGGTTGCAGGACCTGTGGTGGCCCATCAGCGGAGCTGGCAGCAGATTCGGACAGTGTGGAGGTTGGGAAGGAACATGGACTCCTCCTGGAGTCTTGGGAAGGCTCTGAGGAGGGCTCTGTGTCGGAGGCAGAGAGGGGGCCAGGGCCGTCTGACAGTTATCAGCTGCCTTCGGAGTTAGAGATCAGTGAGGCAGATGAACAGCTGGAGCCTGTGCGCATGCGCAGAGTGGCCAGACGAAGGGAACAGCTAAAAACAGGGGTCGACTTGGGAGTAAGGCCAGACGGTGAATGGCCCCTCCCAGAGGAAATAAAA